ATGTACGGTATTGTTATTTTCCTCATATTATTCCTTGTGTATGCTGTAGGATCTCGTTCTAAGTTGTTCTGTTCTATTCGATCGATTGTTGAAAATTCCTTATTTATAAACGATAAAGGATAATCATTTTTTAATAAAACAGATGTTAACAAATGTTTCTCCTCCAAGAACGAATTTTCGTTGCTTTTATTAAGACAGGAAAGATTGTTTTCACATTCAGAGCATTTGTAAATAGCCGTTTTGAAGATTTCCTTTAGGATAAAATACGTATAACCGGATATACAGAGGCAGTATGCGTGAAATTGAATCTTAACTGACTTTCCTTTCAAGAGATTAATTTATCAGTAGTTGTTAGCTAAACAGTAATTTAAATTTAAAAATTTAACAGTTTATATTAAATAAATTTAATAAGTAATTTTTATGATTCACTATAAAATACAGAATTTAATATTTAAAAAATAGAGTCTGTCTATCAAATTTTCGGAAGGTTAAGTATGAGATTAGTTGTATGCCGCTGTTACACAGTGGTATACAAACTGAATCTCGTACTACTGATATAACTTTTTATTGTAAAGGGAAATAATTTGTTTGCTAATAAAGACTGTGTGTGTATGAGTATAAGTATATAGTTGTGGTAATATGAAAAATACATATAGCACGCATAATTAGTGCGAAAAGAACAGTATGTGGTTTTTCTGCTAACAAAGAGAGACCAAATATACATAATAGAGAGCATAAAATTTAAATGGCAACTGGAAGTAGTGCCGACGATTTACATTTTTTTAACCATAATTACAACAAATGCTCAACTCGAGTTCCTTGGTTTAAAAGACAATATCCAAGACGTGCTATAAATTCTTTGGTTATGTTTGACAACATCATTAGTGTAATTTGTTGCATTTCAATATGAATTCTCTGTTTGAGGTCTACCTAATTGGTAAGTCGGTTTACAGATACCCTACTTTTTAAATAATTAATTAATAAGTCCATGGAATTTAAATCTGCTGACTAAGCAGGCCAATCAATGTAGCTGCGTCGTCCAATCCAGCGATTGGGAAGGGCATTTAGAAAATTTCTAACCACTACAGCATCCTATGGACTTGCTTCATAATGATGAAACCAAATGTCAAATATATTTAACCAGGATTATTGATACCTGGAAATAAAGCGGTTAAAAATGAAACTACGTAGGTTTGCAACATGTCTAACATGTTCACCCGTCACAGTCCCCGACAAAAAATACGGTCCTACAATGATATTCCTAACAATGCCAGCCCATCTACTTTTTGGTGGTATTGGGTATAAACTTTCATTGTCCAATTGGGATTTTCTGTTACCCAGTAACGACAACTTTGCCTATTAACGACACTATTTACACAAATAGTGGCCTCGTCCGAAAAGAAGATGTTATATTCAAATCTATTATTTTGACTAGACACTTCTTGCATATTTTCACAAAACTCCATGCGTCTATCAAAGCCGTCTTTATTGCGTTCATGTATAATTTCAGTTTTATGTGAATGTGTTTTGGCCTTTTTTAGAATTTTATGAACAATATAACGATATATTTCATTGTTAGTTACTAAAGTTGTACCTTTTTTTTTTTTTTTTTTTTTTTTTTTTTTTTTTTTTTTTTTTTTTATTGCCGTATTGCCAGAATCCAGTAAGAGCCTAAGAAGGTATCCATTAGATTCTGACAGGCAACGGTGGGGGAAATCTTTTTTGGACCTCTACGTCACGGAACAAGACACCCTGGTATCTTTTGGCACAGTGGGATACTAAGCCACAAGACATCAGGGTAGTGCCGGATTAACCGTGTTCCGGCTAAAACCTTAACCACCGTTCCAGAGAGATGGTCTTGCCACTCAATAAACAACTAAAATTTATACATAACCATACCTATTACCGTAAATCAGAAAATGTTAGACCATAAATAATATTAACTATAAATTTAAGATCCCTGACTTAATTTCCTCTTCTATCCTCCTCTTCCTTTTTCTTCATCACCCCAGAAATCAGACAGTGTACTTCTCTCCATTCTTTCTCTCCTCTTAACATAATATTTACAATATTTCTTTCATCCAGCCCGAAACCCATTCGCCTCTCGAAATCTCCCATCTCATTTACCCATCTCTGGCAGTTAAAAATGTGGGCGGGAGCATCCGGTACCGCACAAACAGTACAGTCTGCCGAGGCAGATTTGCCTATTCTATTTGTGAAGGTGCCAAAACTACCATGTCCGGTCAGAAACTGCGTCAGGAAGTAGTCTAGTTTCCTGAACTTACATTCCCACCACGGTCTCAGATCGGGAATTAGCTCCTTCGTCCACCTTGCCTTTCCACTATCATTCGCCCATTCTCTCTGCCACTCTATTATCGTTCTTTCTCTTTCATTCTCATGTATATTTACATCCATCCTCCTCGCATACATCCTCGTTCGCTCTTTACACAATAAAACGATCGGTATCACAGCTCCAATGACATATAGAGCCTCATTCGAGACTGTTCTATATGCACTAGACACCCTGAGGAGCATTCGCCTTTGCGAAGTCTCCATCAGCTTAGCGTATTTTGCAATGTTTAGTACACTACACCACACAGGGGCAGCATAGGTTACTATCGACTGGAAAACTCCATTTAGCACCTTTCTTTTGGTACTTCCTGGGCCTCCTATGTTTGGCATCAGCCGTATCAACGCTTCCAGATTTCGGTTCGCCTTCTCTACTGTCTTTTGGATGTGAACTCCGAACCTTAGACCTTCCGACAACCAGACTCCCAGATATTTAATTGATTTAACCGGTGCAACCTCTACACACCTCCACAATAAAACGAAGAGAGGATCTTTCCCCGGTTCCCTTTGAGAACTAACACCTCAGTTTTCTGAGGCGCTAGCTGTAAATCGTTCTCTCTGATCCAACTAAAGTTGTACCTAAAGAATGATTATTTTAATAAAGTTGTAATTAAAGAATGACTTTTTTTTGTTAATATTAAGTACATAATACATTCAACTGATTGTCGTCGGAAGCTTATCTCCAACATTGAAAATATCATTAAATTTATGCAATATTTTGCTTACCGTCGCTTTATTTATTAGTACTCAAGTAAAATAGTTTTCATTAGAAATATCGCATACTTCAGCAATAATTCATTCAGAATCGCTATAACCTAAGATCATCAAAACTTCTATTCTCTGTTTTTTTTGTCAGCACCATCGTAATTTCCAATAATTTCTATTAGGGTGATATTTCTCCAAACGATACCAGTGCAGACTTCTAAATCAATGTGACTCAAAAAAATCAATTTAATATTGACATATTCAATGGTAACTACGAACTTACTGTCTGGTTGCTAAGGAATTTGACATATTATCTTGACAGCATACTTGATTTTTGGCAATATACTAAGTACAGTCGGTACCACTTTGTTTTATTATTTTGTTGGTCTGCAGCCTATAACAAACAGTTTGTAATTTGAATGGAATTATTTATCCTTAATAGGTAAATAATCTACCTTTTGTATCGTACAACCAAATTTCACTCCTTATAACTCCTAGTAAAATAAATTTACAATTAAAATTTAAGAAATACAAGCACTTGTTTCCTTTATACTCTTTGTACTTAAGTTTGAAAGTGATCAATTTGATACGGTTGTACTCAGAAAATAGACTTTTATTTTTTGACGTGACGTCATATCTGCTAAGTTAGTGGAAATTAAAGTTATATTTTTCCAAAAAGGTTAAAAAAAAAATAAAAATCGACCTGACAGAGCATAAACTCTGAAAATAATTAAAAATAATTATGTGCACTTATGATTAAGTGGACAGACATGCACTGATGTACGATGCACATCAGACAGACAAACCGACGAATCCATAACCCTATTTACGAACATTCAATATCAGTCAAACATTCAGATACTACTTTAGCCCTAGCCGAACATCATATTCAACAGGCCACAAAATAGATTTCGAAAAAGTAAAAACCATCGCCCCCATCCGCTCCTTAAAACCAAGAATCATTCGTGAAGCTATCGAAATCGAAAAACGGCCTAACAGCTTAAATACGCGCGATGACGCGAAACGATTGCCGGCAACATGGCGACTCCTACTTCAGCGACCTCCCGCCCAAACCGCTCAGGCTACGTCAGCTCAGACCACGTCAGCCCATACACTTTCCGCGCGTACAGCGAGTATAAAAGCAGCGACACAGGGTAAGACCGGCTGTCAAACGGCTTTGGCCACCAAAAAAATTAAAAAACACTAACAAAAACCGGCTTCGGCCACCAAAAAAACTAACAAAAACCCCAAAACCCGGGCACGTAGGGCCCAACCCCCTTGAGCACCAAGTCGCCGAACTGAGCCGGGACTCAGAGCGGAGACTTGAGGCCCAAGTAAGCAATTTTAGTTCGCGGATAAGCTACATTAAGATAAACAGGAATAAAGCGGAGATGCGCTGTCCTGAGTTTTCACATACGGTTAGGAAACCATGTTGGGGTTCAATTACCCAGGACCTCCACATGAAGAGCACTTGGCTGATTGTTGTGCCTCTATAGCGAATCAGATTGCTATAGGGGGGAAAGGGATGGTCTAGAGCATTGGAGCACGGTGGGGTGATTCCTGTTTTTAAACACGAATTAAAACACCTTGCTCCAATGAATTGTTACACCCGGATCGTACTACCTGGGTGAACATGTCTCATAGGCTGGGTTCAATCAAATGGCTTGCTTGCAGACCGGCTGTCACTCGACACTGAGGAGTAGGGAGATTGAGACCTCAGTGCCGAGAGACAATTCTTGTATTTATTATACAGAGCACGATACTGGTACGTCTCGAGTGAGGGGAGTAGGCAGATTGAGACCCCGAACTCGAACCGAACCGTATCACTCTTGATAATGTCTCCAAAATGGGAGCCGAAACGTCGAGCATAACTGGTTAGACATACAACTAAATCTATCTTCTTGTAAACTACCAGTTGGTAAATTTATTTAAATTAAACTACTATAACATATCAAAAGATTTATTTCACTTTAATTGATTTATTTATTTACCATCCTATTTCTAAGAGGAACATACAGGGGTTTGTGATCGTCCAGCTTTATTTGTTTCTCAAGCTCGTTAATTTTAGCCTGCCGTTGAACAACCTTTGACTTTAGTTTTGATATTTCATCCATACTCTCTTTTTGTATTTCATCTAATTGCACATTAGCGGTAGCTATGGTTTGTTCTGAATGAACCTAAAAAATAAAATAGGCGCTATTGTTAATATTAAGGCAATGCTTTTATAAACAAATAGCAAGGCTCTATTTGATATAACTTTTTTTTATTTTTTATAATAGTTAAATTTCCTAATAAGACCTAGGAGATCTACAGATTGATGACAACGTAATAATCAAAGGAAAGGGTAAATTCAAATACTTAGGTTTTACAATTACAAAAACGGCAATAACAGAGGAAGAAATTACGCAAAGATTAGGACCAACAAAAACAGCAATCCGACAACTTATTGGTGGAATAGACACCTAAATATGAAGACAAAAATACAGATTTATAAAACACTAGTGCGAATTATTGTGACATATGAGGCTAAAAATGGGATTATAAACAAGAAAGACAACATTAAGATCGTAACAACAGTGATGGAATGCCTACAAAGTTGCTGCAGAGTAACAAGAATTGATATGAGAAGTAATGACGAAATAAAGCAATGAACATCATTATAAACAGACATACTAACATATAACAAAAAAGACTAAAGTGGTATGGACATGTAAGAAGAACTAGCGACAGCAGATGGATAAAGAGAATAACTGAATAGACCCTCTTTTTAAGGAGAAAAAGAGGACGACTCCAAAATCCTGGAGGAACGAAGTAGACGACGCCATAAGTAAGAGAGGCCTAAACGATGGAGAATGGGACAACAGAGAGAGATGGAAACGGTTGAGCGAGGGTAGGCAATGAATACTGTAGAATCCCTGATTATACATACATATATATATAATATATATATATATATATATATAATATATATAATATATAAATTTCTTAATAAGAGTCATCAACCTGTGGGAGATTCATCATTATCATCATCTTTGGCTCGAAAATCCTCTGTGGATCTTGGCCTGGTCTATGATTAGTCACCATTCTGTTCGGTTTCTGGCAACGTGTTTCCATCTTTTGATTTTTAGTATCCCTAAGTTGATCTCAACTCCATCTAACCACCTAATTCGCAGTCGGGCATTTGCTTCTTCTTCCTATAGGTTTTCCTGTCGTTAAATTTTTAGCAATCATGTTATTAGGTATTCATATTATGCGTCCGGCCCATCTAAGTCGCTTACGATATCTGGTTCATTAAAGAATTTATATAATTTAAAATTAAACCTTTTGCGCTTCATCGTTGCGTCTTTTGATCGTTTATAGCTTCAAATATTTTGCGGAGTATCTTACGCTAGAATATGTCCAGTCTTTCATCCTTCTGGTTTAGAGTCCATGTTTCCGACCTGTATGTGAGGACCGGCCTCAGCAGTGTTTTATATATTCCCAACATCTTTGCTTATGACGTGTTCTGTCCACGATATTTTCAGACGTCTTCTATACCCCTACAGCTCGAATGATTCCAGTTTTTTTTATTGATGATGTATTCAAAGTCCAAGATTCCATTCCATAAAACAAAGTCGAAAAAACATAGCACCTCGCCAACCTAACTCTTAGTTCCAATTTTAAACCTTATGTACACAGTATTCTTCTTATTTTGTTGAAATTTGCTTTAGCATTTTCTATTTTGATTTTAATCTTCTGAATGTAATCATTTTTGGAGTTAATCATTGTTCCCAGATATGTATATTTGTCCACTTGTTCGACGTTGGTTCCGTTTATTAAAAAATTCTTGTTATTTTATTGAGTTTTTGATAATCTCATAAATTTCGGTTACTTGAAGTTTATTGTTAGACCGTACTCTTTTCCATACTCCGGTATTATGGTCACACCAGTCTCTGAAGATCTTTAGTATATCGGGGTAAGATCACAGTGTCCTCTGCATATCTAATAATGTTAATGCGAACTTCAGTTATCTTTATTCCAGCTGTTTCACCCTCAATAGCGTTTTTCAGGATCTCTTCGAAGTAGGCATTAAAAAGAATTGGCGACAATACGCATCCCTGCCCCAATCCACGTCTAATTTCAATTTCTTCTAACAGCTGTTCGTTAACGCATACTTTTCCTTGGTTTTTGTAGTATAAATTTGATATGATCCTGAGGTCGTTGTAGTTAATCTTCTTTGATTTCAGGACATTCATTAATTGTTTATGTCGTACTTTATCAAATGCTTTATTATAGTCAATAAAACATGCGCAAATATCTTGATTGACGTCCAGGCATCTTAATATCAGCATATTAAGTGAAAAAAAGCTTCAGGCGTTCCTAGGCCTTTGCGAAAACTAAATTGTGTCTTGTATGATTAACGTCTATGCTCAGTTTCTGATATATACGGTTATAGATGACTTTTGGTAGTAACTTTGGTACATGAGACATCAAGCTAATGGTGCGATAATAGCTGCATTCTATTGCGTTTTTCTTTTTGGAGAAACAAATAAAAATGGACTTAACCGCTCTTTGGACAATACGACCGAACTATAGATTTGGTTCAGGAGTGTCACTAAAACATAATTGTGAATCTAGACATCTTGAATTTTTAGAATTTCTGTCCATAGTATGCCCTATTCGTAAGGTTTATTCGTATTTTAATTTTTTCATTTGTTGTATTAGTATCAGTCACTATCGAGCCAAGGTGTGTGAAGCTGTTAGCACGTTTAAAGATATGACTTTTAAATGCTGTTTTCCGTTCTTCATTTACTATAGAATCCTAAGTAATCAACATGTACTTGTTTTTGTCTTCGTTGATGACTAGACCGACCTGCTTCGCCGCCGTTTCCAATTCTAGTAAATAGTGCTCAATATCTAGCTTGGTACGCACTATTATGTCAATGTCATGAGCGTATGCTAAGATTTGTATCGATCTAATGTAAATAGTACCGTTGTTTTTTAGATCGTGTGTCTCAGACTGCCTCCTCCAAGACAATGTTAAATAGGAGGCAAGCCAGGGCATCCCTTTGTCTAAGTCCATCCTTTATCTCAAAGGATCGAAAATTTTCTTCACGTATCCTAACGCAAAGCGAAAGAAGCATGGGAAAGATGGAAAGAAATTAAGACTCAATTAACTCAGTCAAAGTACGATAGTCACAATGTACATACTAAAGTTAAAACTACTCATAGGGGGCTAAGATGAAGGCAGTAAGAAAATATAACTGATCCTGACAGAAACATTATTTTGGAAAAACACAGTAAAATAAAACCGTGGGAAGAATATCTAGAAAAACTGTTTGAAGACTAAAGAGATAACACCTTTGAACTAGAAAAAGATGTAAATGATGGACCAAGAATATTACAGCAGGAAGTTTATTCCGCATTAACACAGTTAAAGGTAATCAATAGAAATAATCGCAAACATATTCAACATATACAACACCAATAGAATGGCTGAAATATGAGTTTATGGCACTTCCAAAAAAATTAGAAGCCAAAAAATATAAAGATTACTATAGGACTGGTGCTGTAAGTCTGAATCCAGATATGCTCTCCTTCAAGCCATCTTCTTCTTCTTTCTTTGTCAACCATTTTCCATCCACTCCTGAATGTAGGTCTCTCCCAATTGCTTTCATCTTTCTCTATTTTGCGCCAATCTAATCAACTGTTTGCCTGCCACTGCTCTTATGTCATCTACCCATCTTTTTTTAGGCCTTCCCATGCTTCCTGTTGTCGTCCTTGGTCTGCATTCTAGAATTCTCCGTGTCCACCTGTTGTCATTATATCGGGCTACGTGACCTGCCTAGCGCCACTTTATTTTTGTAATTTCTTCTACAATACCCCTAATCTTAGTTCTACGTCTTATCTCGGTGTTTCTAATCTTGTCTCTTAGTGATAGTCCAAACATGATTCGTTCCATTGTTTTTTGCGTTGTTTCTAATTTTTAAGCATATTTTTTGGTAAGGGCTACTGTCTCCAAGCCGTAGGTACAAACTGGTAGTATACATGTGTTATACACCTTTTTCTTTAAGTTTGTAGGAATGGAGGTGTTTTTCAAGGTATGTGCTAGTTTGCTGAAAGCGCCCCGTGCCAGTTGTGTTCTTCTTTTAATTTCAGCATCTTGATTGGGTTTTTCTAGTCTGATAACATGACCTAGATATACATAACGTTCAACATTTTCTATGGTATGATTTTGTATTGTTAAGGCTTCAAGCCATACTGCGAGGAAAAATATTAAGACAACAAGATCCCGAAAGAAAAAGAACATCTTGGTTAAAAAAACTTAGAATCTGGTTCAATACATCTGTGCAGCTTTTCCGCGCTGATGCAAATAAGACAAAGATTGCCATGACGATCGCCAACATTCGTAACGGATAGGCACATCAAAAAGAAGAAGAAGAATGCTAACGCTGGCTTTTAGGTTAGATATTGTCATTCTCGTTAGTCGGATAAGTTTTTCTGGTATATCAAACTCATGTATTTATTGGTATAGTAGTGTTCTCTTGACACTGTCATATTCGGCCATAAAATCTACGATTAGGTAATGGGTTTCAATGTGAAATTCAAATGTTTTCTCGAGTATTTGTCTTTTTAAGTGATTATGGTAAATTTTTGATTTTTCTGGAGTAAATCATGCCTGGTATTTTTCAAATATGCAAAATATCCAAATTATGTGTTTGGCTATTTTTGTTGATATTTTTCCTGTAAAAAAGAAAGGAATAACACCAGCTTTTCGAACAAATAACAACCTAGGCAAATATATCAAAAACAACAAGAGCCAAAACAAAACACACTTACACAGTGGTGTGTACAAACTTAAATGTGGCGACTGCCCAAAAACTTACATCGGTCAAACTGGTAGAAACTTTAATAAACAAATAGCAGAACATAAAAGGGCTTTCAATAATAGAAAAACAGATTCTACATACAAACTTCACCTTCTAGATCACAATCATTCTTTTAATGACGAATTTAAAATTCTTCACATTCAAAATAAAGGCCTTAAGCTATCCTTGTTAGAATCTATGGAAATCAACAAATTAAAAAACAAAGACATATTTCTGAACGACCAACTTGAGACAAACAGTTCTCCTCTCCTCAACATATTTCATTAGAGACTATAAAGTGTAAACGCATGCCAAAAATAAATCACTTGAGAAAGGCAATCAGCCGAAACTGGTGCAGTGATAAGAGTTAAAATAAATTTTGTGGAAGTTTGAAAACAAAGTTTTCAGTGTTTTATTGATACATAAAATGAATTTCCATTAAGTAACGTTCGAATCCATCAATATATAATATACTAATTTTTATAATAGAAAAATAAGAAGATTAGTCATAGAAAATCTCATAGCTTTAATAAAATAAATATGTGCAAAATATTAAATAAAATAAATTTAAAACAAAACTGTTAACAACAACTCTTGTGGATTTATAACCGTTGATAAACCCGATCTTGTTTATTTAGAATACAATAAACAAATCCAACGCATGGCAAAAAAATAGAGTGTGCTTTTGTAAGTACAGAAACGATTATAAGAAAACTAATGTTCATAAATTTGTACATACCTTTAGACTTTCATATTTATGCTCCAATACGGTAATAATTTCTTTGTATTCATCTAGTTCATCCACTAACAAATCTTGATTTCGCTTTAAGCCATATATAACATCCTTCGCTTTCTGGAACTTTTCTAACAACTCATGATAAGAGCACTCCAAATTTTCCAAGTAACTCTCCACTATTGCATTTTTACTTAGTACATCTTCTCGTTCTTTCCAAATTCGTTGAAAAAAATCGTCATAGCCGATCATTATTTCATGAAATCCGTTTTCGTCTAATGTACTAGCCTTGAGTTTCGTTTGTAGATTTTGCCTCTCACCTTTTAACTCAGCTATCTAAAACGAAAGTCTATTATAAGAATAAAATATGAAAACTTAAAATAAGAATATTTTATTGATAAGATTCGAAATGCAACATTATAGTTCCTATGGGATGCATGGAAAACGGGGAACATATTGTCTAGGCGATGCCTTACGACCATAAGGGACGTTTTGAGTAAACTGCCATCATGGATAACATTTTGCTCCAACTTGTATAAAAAAATAAACAAAAACAAATAGCCCAGAAGATAACTTATAAATTGATTACTCTTCTGAGTCTCTAAATATTAAAAGATTTTAATGCTTGAAGAGGCAATTCAACTAATACCTAGAATTAAGCAAACACATAACGAGGAGGTTAAAAACGAAAATGGAGAACTGATGATAACCTTCTGCACGAATAACGAACTTAGAGTAAAAAACACATTTTTGAGCACAAAGACCAACACAAATATACATTCAATAACACCCGTGGACAAAGATCTATGATAGATTATGTTATATCCAATACAGATATACATACATGCATCGAAAATAATTGACGTAAGATGCCTCAACTCAGCAGATGTAGGTAGCGACCATAGCATAGTATTATGTAAAATTAGAATTATCCTGAAATACTTCACACCTAAGAGAGCGGCGCCAACACAAACAAAAATTAAAGTCGAAGGACTAAATACGGAATCCACTGAATACTCATACAGAAAAGAATATCATAGAAGATTGCTGGAAATAAAATATTAGAAAACGATAACATCGAGGAACGCTGGAGAAAACTCAAAAATAACATAACTATTGCAGAAACAGAATCACTTGGAGAGAGAAAAGTAACCAATACTAACAAATCAAAAAAGAAAACGCCATGGTTTAGAGAGGTAGTAAAGACAAAATATAAATAAAAGAAGAAAGCTGTTTTACAATACAAAACACAACAAACAAAACAGGCATATAAACCACTAGAAGAAACGAATCAGAAATGAAACAAATACTTTTAGTTAGACAAATAAAAAGGCAACACTGGCACAGCTTCTTAAGACAGATGGAACACAAGTTCTACGACACCTAAAAAGAAATATAGAGAATGATCAGGGGATAAAGAAAACAGATGAACGAAAAAATAAACACGAAACACTTTCAGGTGAGTTGACTACTTTCAATCCCTATTTGCTAAAAGTGACGATAATGAACGACCAACACCAGAGGTGACGAACGAAGAAATAAATACTGAGGAGAAAGAGGTCAAGGAAGCATTAAGTAAATTAAAAAATTGATAATCACCAGGAGGGGACAGAATACTGAACAAAATCTTAAAGTACGGAGGACCATATATTACCAAACAACTATTGACATAAAATAATACCATAAAATAATAGAACAAAACAGAATTCCTCAAGAATGGATATCAAGTATCCTAATACCTCTCTTTAAAAAGGGAGATAAATCGGACCCGAAAAATTACAGAGGAATTAATTCATTAAACACACCAACAAAATTAACAACCAAAGTGATAACAAATAAACTGAATGAAATTATAATACTGGCTGAAGAACAACAATGTTGTAGGTCAAGAAGATCATGCACCGACGCTATTTTTATAATGATGGAAGTGCAAAAGAAATCATTTGAATACAATAAACCGATAGATATGCATCTATGTTTCGCGGACCTTAAGAAGGCATTTAAACAGATCAAATTAAAGGACGGTTACCACTTATTGTACGCAAGAGAGATATCTCTAGAAATAATCAAAACGATTGAAAATATCTACCAAAACAACACAATAAAAGTAAAAGTGGAAGAAGAACTAACCGATCCTATTGAAGCTTGCAATGGGATAAGACAGGGAAATTCCGTGAGTCCTCTATTGTTGAATCTAATTATGGATGAAATAATAAAAAAGTAAAACTAAAAAAGGATACCAAATAGAAGAAAAACAACTAATCTGCTATGCAGATGACGCAATTCTATTCTCTTAAAGTAAAAACGATTACAACGTATACTGCACCAATTTATTCTAACCGTCAGAAATTGAACATGTTAACTTCCCAAAAAAGACAAAATGCATATTTACATCAGCCAATTTACTACGCTGTAAATTGGAGCTGGAAGGTCAGATAATAGAACAAGTGATGTAGTTTAAATCTTTAGGCATCAAATTATGTAGCTACGGAAAGCTCAAAACTGAAGTGAAAGATCAAGTGAATAAAGCAAATAGAGCCGCAGGGTAACTGAATAAAACAATATGGAGAACTAAAAGCATCGGGAAAGAAATGAAAGGCAGAATTAACAAAAGTCATTAGACCAATAATGACATATGCGGCAGAAACACGACCTGACACAGAGAGGACAAAAATGATTTTAGAAACAGGAGAAATAAAAACAATTGATGGCGAGACAATATGGAACAGAGCTATAAGTACAGATATACGACGTAGATCTAAGGTGAAGAACATCAAGAACTGGGTAAGAAATAGAAGAGTGGAATGGAATGATTATCTAAGCCGAATGACAACAAATAGAGTAGTAAAGACGGCAATAGACGGTTCCCCAATAAGAAGACGATCAGTAAGAAGACCACGAAAGCGATGGAGCAACAACTTACTGGAGGTACATTAAAAAAACGTCAGAGTCAGGTCTACATGAAAAGAAGAAGAAATAGAAAAAGAGTCTCCAACATTTACTGTTGCTACGGGGTTATATTGAGCTTGGTTGCAAGAGATCTGAATATACCAAGGCCAAATAGTTGGTGGAAAAACAAACAAGATATTTAATATAGAAGAAAAGATGACTTTCAGGGAAGAACAGAAAATATATTTTCTTTCTAATCTTTTATTATGTTTCTTAAGATACGTCCATGATTCCTCTATTGCAAAAACCAAGAATGTCCTTGTTTGAGTTTTTGGTAATTTTAAACAATTATTTTTAGAAGGTTTATAATTTTTGTTTTAAAATCATCTTTATATTAAACTCCAACAAACTACATTAATAGAATGAAATGAACATAAAAAGTAGTGTACAAGATAAAATGAGAAAGTAACATACATATTAAACTTAAAATAAAACGAAAAAACTATTTACTTACTTCAGCCTCCAATTCTCTAATTTTTTCCTTGTTATTACGAATAACAACATCCTTTTCCTGAACGACCTCTTTGTAATGACTAACATCCTCCTTTTGTGTTAGCAGTGATTTTGAAACAGGCTCTTGCATACGAAAAATCTAAAATCAATAGAACAAATCTGACATATCTCTATTAAAATGTCAAAATAACTAATACTAAAGCCATGAATACATTGGTTAAAAAAAAACAATATGGAAAATATTGTATGTTGTTTTAATTGCTTTTGGTTCTAATAAGAGGAATCCTATTTCGTGTGCTGACAACCAAGCTTAATTTTAATATTAGAGATTAAATAGGACTAAGGCTTATATAAATTCTTACAGAATATTAATATTTTATCACTTATAATACAAGATTAAATGCATACTTGGGTATTCTTTATTTTCAAAGTAAGTTAATGGAAGATTAACCGATATAAACTTTGGTAGTCTGAATGGAAGATGTGATTTAATATACAATTCTGATAACCATATCAATTAGCCTACATTTGTCTGCTACTGAACGTAGACCTCCCGTAAAATTTTCCACTCATTTCTATCTTGAGCTTTTTGCATCCAGTTTGTGGTGATGCGCTTGATATCATCCGTCCATATAGTCGATGTTCGTCCTCTGCTTCGATATACTTCCTGTATTGGTCACCATTCCAGATATTTCTGGTCCATCTATCATCCGTTAATCTGGCAACTTGTCCTGGCCCAAGCCCATTAAGCCATGGCTATTTTTTCAATTGCATCTGTGACTCCATGTTCTTCTTATTTCTAGGTTTACTACTTATCTCTTTTGGTAATACCTAATACTGGTATTTCCATAGCACGTTATGTAACTCTTATTTTATCTATTGTTCTTTTTGTCAGAGTCAGTGTTTCTGCACCATGGTTAAAAAACCTTTCTTTTTAAATGAACTGAGATAAAAGACTTGAAAATGATACTCAATCTACCAAAGGCAGCCCATGTGAGATGCCTAAGCAAATCGCATGCTCTAGATATTTTTAAGCTATTACTTTGTCGATGCTATGGTCAGGTATTACTAAGTGGTATTACTAATAGTATTACTAAGTCGACTCTGTCTATCGACACTGTCGACTGACAAATCGAAAAAGCTTCACATCTCCATACCAGGTAGGCAGAATATTTGTCGACAGTAGAAACGAAAATGTGTGACAAAGATGACGCCATGATTATTTGGGTCGCATTTGATATTATCAAAACTAAAAAATGTAAATTATTACATAAAAGAAGATTTTGCGTGCGACTAAGTCTTCAAACTGTACTCCTAAATTGGCATAACGGTAGTAATCTGATGGCAGATTTGAAAAAGGATAATATTGATATATTGAACCTTGGATAGAGATTTAACGGTGATCTCAGACTTTTTTTTTCGAATGTCGGAAAGTGAATTTGAATATTTACCCCCTCTGTGGCTCAGTGGTAAGAGCGCCTGCCTTTAAGGCCTAAAGGTCGTGAGTTCGAATTCCACCTGGGTGGAAATTTTCGTTTATTAAAAAAAAAATTAATAAATGAAAATAATTTCTATCCTTGTGTGATCGGTACATACCAAAGGGACCGCAGACGTTCGGATACAATTAGCGTCTCTTAGCAAAGACAATGACGTCGACTTTGCTAAGTATCAAGACAATTACTCTACACACACAAACACGCACACACACACTACAGTAATAAACTTATCTTGATTGAGACTGGCTGAATGACAAGTGTCCAAGCCAAAACACACACAAAAAAAAAATTAAATATTTGTTGCAAAAAATCGGGCCAAAAATTTGTACGCTAGACAAAAACTGTAGACATGCAATTCCAACAAATGGGCGTCTCACTGTGACATTGCGATTTTTATCTACTGGAGATTCGTATTACTCACTGATGTATCCATTCAAAATTTCAAAACAAGTGATTTCTTAAATTATTCTGGAGGTCTGCGATGCCCTTATTGCCACATTACAAGATTACATAAATGTAAGTAGAGTTTTACTAAAACTACATTCATTATTAACTAATAAACTTACAAAAACGCACCACAGCAGTAAAATGAAGTGAACTTATTCGGAAATAAAACTAAGTTTTCAAAAACATATAAGTATCAAATCAAAAATTAAAAATCATGCTGTCATATCTACTGCATTACTGTGCTTATTGTGACGTACCACTTCCCGGACATTATAGTTGTTAAACGAAATAAATAATCTACGGCTTCGTCATCTTCAGTACCTGATTCTGTCGGAGTTGAGGGGCTAGTAACAGAACAACATGAAGAATGCTCTGGGAATGAGTGCGTTATTAAAGTCGTTATTGAACCAACAACATATTGCTGGCGCTGAGGCTGAAGATAATATTAAGATGGTGGCTGTTGTACTCTCCCAGTTTTCCTTTAAACACAATCAGGCTTATCATGTGTTGTACTATACCTTGAGCATAAGCGATATGCAAAGTTCGTAATGTAACAGCAAATTATTGTTCAACTACGCTAAAGACATAATTTTTATTTCTTTCCGAAAACATCTGTGTCATCATCCTGTATACATCATTAACCATTGAGTCATCACGTTTCCTTTTCTTGCATGGCACATGGTGAAGATTTGGTGACTCGAACTCTTTTTTCGCACTTGTGTTTCCCTTTGGTCGTTCAACTTTTTCGACATTTCCAGCATTTGCATTATTACATTCTGCTAGATTGCTTTCTGTCGCATCAATTGAGGGAATAAAATCTTGACGATTCTCATCATTTTTAGTAATGTCTTTGGTATCACCTGTATCTTCTAAAGCATCTACTTCAGTAGAAACCTGTAATCATGAGTAACTATATTAGATAAACTTGAAATTAAATAGGTTAGATAATGAAAATAAATAGAAGCCTGAAAAGTATGCAGAATGGAAAGCTATTGCAGAGGACTATTACAATCGCTGGAACTTTCCAAACTGTGACGGAGCTAGGGACGGAAAACACAGAGCATTGCAAGCGTCAGTGAATTTTTAATTACAAAGGATTCTTTAGAATTGTTTTATTTGCCGTAGCAAATAATAATTTTATTTACGTCAATGTGAGATGTCAAAGTATTTCATTATTTCTGATAAGTGGGGGGGGGGGTGTTTCGGGTGTTTAGTAATACAAAATACAGTGCATTATTTGCCTGCGGAAAATTTTCTTCCAAACTGTGATTTAAAAAGCCCGTTCATTTTTGTAGTTTTGTGGCAGATAATGTATTTCTTCTGTCTACAAACATAATAAAAACTTTATGCAGGGCTTCACCCTAAAGGTTGTAGTGAAAAAATATTTAATTATCGTGTAAGCAGGGCTCGGAGATTATCTGAAACTGTTTTTGACAGAATATCTAGCATAAGTAAAGTATTTAAATTTTAAATTTAAGCAAATCAATGGTATTAAAACCGACTACTGCCTCTAAAGCTATGGTTTGTTAGAACAAGTGAGCGACACACTCACAGTCAGTCGCGCCGCGCCACATACGTTCGTCCAAAATCAAAGGAATGGTTCTCTATGATAACGGTTTGTTAGGTTCTGCTGAGCTGAGCGCACTGCAGAGCGATAGCCATGTACGTCGACGGTGTGCGCTGGAATCAAACTGCAATTTGATTTGGATGCAAACGTTCAGCTGAACTCACAGCGTACACATCTTTTCTTCTTCTTACGGTGCCTTATCCTTAAGGACGTTGGCCATTACAATTGCCCATTTTAATCTTATTTTTAGCAGCCCTGAATAGTTCTATGGAGGTCATGTTAGTCAATTGCCGTAGGTTTTTAAGCCAAGAGTTGCGTCTTCTTCCTGGTCCTCTTTTGCTATTGACTTTGCCTTCGATTATAAGTTGGAGTAGTTCATACTTTTGATTTCTTATAATGTGAACAAAATATTGTGTTTTTCCGTTTTTTTATTATAAGCATAAGCTCTCTTTCCTTATTCATCCTCCGCAAGACTTCCGCATTTGTCTTATGGCTCATGTAGGATATTCTGAGCATTTTTAACGGTACACATCTTTACAGAAACCTAATTGTATTTTGTTATCGTTATTGTTATTGTAATAGTTATAATTACGTGTATAATTAATAGTAATAATTAGGTGATGTCTTCTTTTGTAGGATTTTCAGTAATATCATCACTTATAATTTGTAAGAGTTTTAAAATAAGCCCCTGGAAAGTCTAACATATTCTTAAAATTTTTCCTCGTTTTAAAACAATCTTAACAAGCACCTTCTGTATTACGATATGAAATAATTTCGTTTACTTTTTTATTATTTTTTTTTTATTTAGATTTGACATTATCAACTCTTGTTCTCCGTTCTCTTCTTGGAGAATTAACATATTGCGTTAAATTTACGAGAAGTCAATTTTCTAAATATATAACCTTTAAGAGAACAAACATGGTTTTTAAGTCAAGAGTTGCGTCCTTCTTCCTGGTCCTCTTTTGCTACTGACTTTGCCTTCGATTATAAGTTGGAGCAGTTCATGCTTTTGATTTCTTATGATGTGACCAAAATATTGTGTTTTTCCATTCTTTTATTATAAGCATAAGCTCTCTTTCCTTATTCATCCTCCGCAAAGACTTCCGAATTTTGTCGCATGGCTCATGTAGGATATTCTGAGCATTTTACGGTACACATCTTTACAGAAACTTAATTGTATTTTTTTATAGTTATTATTATTGTAATAGTTAGAATTACGTGTATAATTATTAGTAATAATTAGATGTCTTCTTTTGTAGGATTTTTAGTAATATCATCCCTTATAATTTGTAAGAGTTTCAAACTATGCCCCTGGAAAATCTAACATATTCTTAAAATTTTTCGTCGTTTTAAAACAATCTTCTTAACAAGCACCTTTTGTATTACGACATGAAATAATTTCGTTTACTTTTTTATTTTTTTTATTTTGATTTGACATTATCAACTCTTGTTTTTCGTTCTCTTCTTGGAGAATTAACATATTGCGTTCAATTTACGAGAAGTCATTTTTCTAAATGTACAACTTTAAAGAGAGCAAATTTGAAACTAATTTTTATACTTCAGCGCAACAGAATCTATGTACGCCATACGACTCTAACAAATCGACTTCCCCCAAAACTACCTTGAGTC